TTTGTACAAAGCAAGTGTTCAAGCTATACCTGAACGCCTAACCCACTTTGAATTATGATATTCCTTAAGCACTTCTCTTTGAAGGTTGTCCCATTCTAGAATATAGACTCAATTTTCAAGGGTGTAAAGTACCCCATTATTCACTTAAAACCTTTGATTCTTACCTTCATAAGCAAGTTTGATTAAGTCACTTGCAACAGAGTTTTGAGACATGCCTTCCTTAATTCTGCTAAGGAAGTCATTATGGGGTATACTTGCTATGATGCTAGCTAACTCAGCATTTCTACTTAATGCGCCGGCCACTACATTCACTTTTCTTGGCTTGTACTCTAATTTGTAATCAAACTCAGCAAGAAATTCTTACTAAAAAAATAGAATTAGCAAGGAATTAGCAAGAAATTTATTTTCTTGCTAAAATTAGAGAGGACAAAAATGTCCTCCTTAATTAGTGAGGAAAAAATTATGCCTCGCTAAATATTAGCAACTAGTCATTTAGCTACGACTTTAGTGAAAAAATTATTTTCTCGCTAAATTGTTATTAGTGAGGAATATATTTGATTTAGCAAGGAATAAGGTTCTCATTAAATCTTAATTTTCTTATAGTAGTTTACTTTGGACCAAGTTTTTTTGTGTGTTGGAAGTCTCATAGTGACATTATCTGTCATTATGGTGAACTTACTTTCAAGTAAATAGTGACATCAAGTTCGAAGGCAATAAATTATGGCAGTCATTTATTTCTCTTGGATTGTATAACACCTTTTTGTTTCATTCTACTTACAACTCTCATAGGCAATAAAGTGTCCTTCTTGCATCAATACACCTTTTATAGAAAAATCTGAGGTGTTCGTGTGCACCTTAAAAGTCTTAATATAGTCGAGCAAGGACATGATAGGTTCTTGCACGGCCATATACTTTAACCTTTTAAAGGCATCCTAACCACTACCAGGATCTATTATTCTGGAATAAATCCATTAATGGAACAACGATAGTTAAATATCTCTTAATGAACCAATAACAGTAGTTCACTAGGTCAAGAAATAATCTTAAATTTAAGACCTTGGTAAGAAGCTATCATTCTTGAACTGCTTGAAACTTTATTAGGTCTATCATGAGCTTACTATATTTGATCCTATGTCCAAGGAAGTCCACCTCTTACTTAGAGAATGAACACTTTTCTAACTTAATGTATAGTTCATTATCAAAGAGTACTTAGAAGAGTATCTTCAAATGTTGTGCATACTCTTTAAAAGGAGTGCTATTCACCATAATGTCATCTAAGTATACCACCACAAGTTGATCCAAGTGAGGGTGGAACAACTTATTCATAAGAGTGCAAAACATTACTAGGGTATTTGTTGCGCAAGCACTCTTCAATTCATCACCTACAGTAATACGTACTTAATAATATCTATATTAAAGATCAAGCTTAGAGAAGTAATTAAAGGTATTGGGTACTTGTTCTTGATAATAATTTTGTTTGAGGCTCGATAGTCAATGCATATCCATAATGAGCCATCCTTCTTTTTTGGGAAGAGTACTGGAGCACTGTATGTGACCTCAGACAGTAGGATATACCCTAAATCAAGGAGATCTTAGAATTATCTCCTTAAATTAACTAGTTCTAAAGGTGACATACAATAGGGTGCAAGCAATTTGGCACTAGGCTTTAATTCAATCTAATGTTCTACCCCTCTTTTTGGAGGTAGCTTTTTAGCAGCTCATTAGGCATGATACTCTTATACTCTTGAAGAACTTCTTAGATGCATGATGGCAAGGCTTCTTATGGATTAGTTATGGCATACTCTTTTCGACTAACGAACTTATCGTGGCAACGTAGCGTTCTACTCTCTTGAGACCCCTTCAGTTAACATAGTTTGGACTTCTCCAAGTGCTTTAGAGGGATTACTCAAATCATGTGTGTGTCAGTGATTACCATAGAGTGGCTTTAAGAATAGGGAAGGTGTATGCCTTGTAAAAGAAAGCAAGTCCCAACACAACCTTAAAATCATCCATAAGCAACACATGTTATCTCAGCATTCTCTTAGATGATATTAATAATTTGATTATTGAGTTTTCCCCACAGTAGTCCTCACATTCTCTATATAAGTTTCCAAGATAGTAAATGAGGTTCAAGAGACTCACTTACTAGAGCCTTACTCCTGCTTTGCTTGGACTTAGTTTTGAGCTCACTCCTCTTGCACACGAGCTTATTCGTGTCCCATGCCAACAATGTTTCCTTTCTCAATTGCCATCACGCAAGACCTTCCTGTAAGCATAAAGATTGAAGCAAGCTCTAATATCGACTGCCATAGGCTTTACTCCGTGCTTTGCTTGGACTTAGTTTGAGCTCACTCCTCTTGCAACACAGCTTATTCCGTCCCATGCCAACAATGTTTCCTTTCTCAATTGCCATCACGCAAGACCTTCCTGTAAGCATAAAGATTGAAGCAAGCTCTAATATCGACTGCCATAGGCTAGTCGTTCGACTCATGTGACACTTAGATACTTTTTATTAGAAAATGCGAAATAAGCCTGACTTGTAAACAAGAAGGTGTTTTGGCAAAATTGAGGGACAAAAGTCTTAAGAGTAAAGGATGATGACAAAGCTTAGGGAATGTAAAAATTGTATTACTTTAAAAACTCAAGGATGGGTTACAAATAAAGAGGTAGAGATATTTATAGACCTCCCCTTATATCTAAAATGTTTACACCTCCTTAATAAATAGTGGAGATTAATTTGATTCTACGATTGTTACTAATTCCCTAGAATTCTCTATAAGATATTTTACAATAAATATCTAAATATTTAAAAAAAATTCTTTAGAATTTATCTTAATATTTATGCTTGAGTTGTCTAGATTTTTCTAGAGTTATCTTGCACACTCTAGCCTTCTCAATATTATTCAAGAGACTTTTGAAGAATTTTGGAACATTCCGGACCACCATAATCTGTTTGAAAAATCATGAAATGTGACATCATGCGTTTGATCCATCATAATTTAGTCTTTAATTTTAAAGTTTCCATATTTTTAATCATTTAAAACTTTAATCCCAAAGCTTTAAAA